AGGCCGATACCGATAGGGGGCCGATTATATCGTGCATCCCTAGTTTTTAATTACAGCGGGAAACAGCAGAAAGACTAGATGGTTTAGAGAAGAGTCCCGTGCTGCATGGAAGCAGGGCGCCACCATTTTAACTATCAATACTGGAGAAGCACACTGGAAGTCAGTCCCATGAGAATATTTGTCTTGTTTGACAAAAAACCTCTATTTAACTTAAGAGATTCAGATCTGTCACTATCATTTGGGCGCCACTTTACAGCAGTCTGAGCTCCCCCTAAACACCTGAGCTAACTAGCTGATCTCACCCATTGCTGATCATTTTTCTGGTTCTCTAATGGAGGATTTAATCTAGAAGGTTAATGTTTCCTCATCCCTACCAGGAACTCAATGACTTCTAGATGTGGTGGTCTAACGTGGAAGCAGAGCACAGAGGGGGGGCTGGTTCATTTAGCTACAGTACATCATATCCATTGACCTTCTGGGATGCTAAACCTAAAAGTTACAGGGCTAGCGCTGCTAGCGGCTAAGTATTACACAGTGTTGCTTTAAGTCTACAGACCTTAGGTTTAGGTTTCCTTGCAAAATTTCCGATGTTAACTTTATTTTTTATTCACTTTTTGCTTTAGCCAAAATTTAATGGGCAAAAATAAAGAGAGTAAAAAAAAAAATATCTAATCTAGTTAACTGACTTCCTGTATGTGAAAATACAATTTGAAAAACCAATAAATTGAGAATACATTTTTTTTTTTTTTTACAAAAATCTTTTGGAAAAAATGAAGTTCGACAAAAAAAATCTAAGAAAACAGGAAGGTTATTCTTAAACCCTTATTCTCCTTGAAATGTTTTGCAAATGTAGAGCGAAATTCACTCCTTTTTAACGTGTTTGGTGTGAACGCCTCTGACTTTCCTCCCTGATTGTAGCCGTAGCTTCCAGACTCTCCTGGACTGACCTTCATCTCAGAACCAGTTAGGACAGCTTACCGGGCTGGTTCCTTTGCTGCTCTGACTTGTTTGTTCTGTTCACCCTGCAGCCTGCGACAGCATATTTGCTGTTATCTCTCTGCCTCACGGCCCACGTTAGTATTACCCTCCCGACTGTCCGTCGTCGCCGCCTCAGCTGTTGGAGGCCGGCCAGTGCTGGGTGGGAACGCTTGAGTCAGAGTCCAGATATGGGCTCTGTGTTGAAACCTATGTTTATATGCAGTAGAACCAGATATTTACATACACTTAATTAAAAAAAAGCGCCTTATTTTCACAATCTTACATTGATCAGACATTATAGTGACCCTGGCTGAGAGGGTAGACTAGTCATCTTTAGTGAGTCGACCAGAAATGCTCTGAAAGTCAGACTTTTAAATTTAGAGGAACTAATCTCTCTGCTGGAAAAACTTGTGAATAATAACAAATTTTCGCTCTTTCCTTGGTATTTGTTAGAATTTCCTTTAAACGTTTTATCTTTGGCCAAACCAGACTGAACCGGTGTCTGTAATCTCTGTGACAGAGATCAGTACTTTGTTATGGCTGCTCAAGAAGAATGGACTCTGCTTTCCTTCAGCCGCCTCCATCAGAATGACTCGTCCGTGTCCACGCTTTGACTTCCTATCTGCGTAATGGTCCTTCCTACTCATGGCATCTATTGTGTGAAGTGACCCCGTCTTTTCTGCAGCAAAACCCTCCACATGATGATGCTGCCACCCCTGTACTTCACTGTAGTTTCCTCCAACAAAACCACTCTGCTGATGTCATCAGATTACAACACATCAGTGATAAAATGTTACTAAGTCATTTTCATGTTGTGAAGAAATAAGTAACACAATTAGCCAATGGAGTAAGATGTTTAATGTTTAAAATAAGTAAAATGGCCTCACTATAATTTTTTAAGTACATAATATGGATTATCTGATTTTAACGAGAAAAAACTAATCTCATTGGCCATTGGGAGAATATCTTTGACTCAAATTAATGACAGATCCACTGATTATGAGACATTTTTGCTTATTTTCGATCATTTTTTTGTTTGTTTTTTATGAGTCCAGTCTAGTGAAGCTCTTTGTGACATGTGTGAACTGAATTCTGGTTTCTAATTTGGTTTTGGGCGTAACGCCTTCTTTGGCTCCCAGTGGCCTTTAAGTCGATGTCGGTTTCGGACTCCATTCACTCTGGATGCTGACTGTACCATCTTCTGCAGCTTCTTCAATATAGGATTGATTCCCAGATTTCACACCAGAACCATTTTATCTCTCTGTACCAGAGCCCATCTCCTTCTTGCCTATGACTGTTTTTGCAAAGTGAAACGTGATGCCTTCAGTTGTCTGCACCCAAAGATGAACCAGAACATGGTTCTCCTTCTGACCTCTTGGCTAACTTCTTTAGATTATCCATGATGTCACACAAGCAAGTAAAGAGTTTGGCATGATGCCTTAAAACGCATCTAGAGGTTTTCCCCTCATTTGGACAGTGAACGCCTCACAGCCAGGGTAGTGACAGAGACTCTGCTGTAAATCATGAAGGTCTCTGGTTTTATTACAGCCTGCCTTCCCTCTATTAATTAGTAATAAAAGATTGGCTTCACACAGATAGACAGATGGATAGATACTTCTATTATCCTGGTGTCATCTTTTATCCCAAAGCGACTTTTCTACATACTTTGGTTGATGATGATCGAGTCAGATTCCTTGTTTGCTCCAATAAACTCGGGCATTTATTGGGATTCTGGTTCAACTCAGACTTAAATGAAGGAGGTAGCACATCATCTAAGCTTTCATATTTTGTTTATAGTTTGCTTTTGCTTATCTTGATGGGGAGCCATTTTGTTAAAAATATTACAAATATAATAAACATTAAGCTTTATTTAAATATATATTTAAGATTGATTTTAATTTGATTATATATTAATATCAATTTTTAACTTCAAAATCTATTATTTTACTTATTTTAAGATTTTTATTTCCAAATGTATTGCTTTATACAAACATGTTTTATTTATTTCCAGATTTATTAAATTCCAAATATATTTTGTATTTTTTTTTAAGATTTATTTAGTTCTTTACAGATTGACATATCTATTTTAGAATAGAATTTGGGAGGGTTAAATTTTTTTCAGGGGTGACTCTGTCTTTCAGAACCCAAACAGTCCAGTAAAACTGCAGCACCTGCTAACTAGTGTCAGCTACTATGTTACATAAGGCTAGGATTAGTGTTGCCCTGATGCCATTTTTTGGCCCCGATATCTGGCTTTGCGGTATCGGCTGATACCGATACCGTACCGATTGAGAACTGCATACTACGTGGATGTAAAATAATTGCCATCATGGCTTTGTCAAGCTGCTGCCTACCTTTGTGAAGAAGGAAAAAGACGAACACAAAGTGAATCCAGTAGAACGTTTTATTGCCTATCTGGAATAGGTGACAATAGTTGAATAAACGTTTGGCTCTCAACATGGTATTGTCAATGTCAAATTTATTTATATAGCACTTTAAAAACAGGTATAAAACTGCACCAAAGTGCTGTACAGGACAAACAATAGTACTAATTAATAAAAACAGATTATCAAAACACTTCAAGTAAATGCCAAAGAATAAAAATTTGTTTTAAGAAGCGATTTAAAATGATCCAGGCTGTGGGCAGATTTAATTTGAAAAGGTAAATTGTTCCATAAAATTGGAGCAACAACAGAAAAAGCCCGATCTCCTTTCCTCTTAAGTCGGGTCTGAGGGACTGTCAGTAATAGCTGATTATTTGATCGTAAGCTTCTGGATACAGAGTGAAATTTTAAAAGGTCCCTAAGATAGGGAGGAGCTAATCCATTTAAAACCTTATAAGTTAATAAAAGAATCTTAAAATCTATTCGATAAAAGACGGGCAGCCAATGTAAAGAGGCCAGTATGGGCCTTATATGGTCACGCTTCCTGGTTCCTGTAAGAAGCCGTGCCGCTGCGTTCTGGATCATTTGAAGTCGCTGCATCTGTGATTTATCCATGCCTCTATATAATGAATTGCAATAATCCAACCGAGATGTGATGAAAGCATGGAAAAGTCCTTAAAACAAAAATAAGATTTTAATTTTTGCTAAAATCCGCAGGTGATAAAAACTTGATCTAACAACAGAACAGCACCGTATTGGTGCCCTATTTGTCGCTACTCGCTGATACCACCATTTTAGTGCTGGATCGGGGCCCTGTCCGATGCTGGTATCGGTGCAACACTAGCTAAGATACATACTTTTTAAAGCTTGATTGATTTCATGTATTGCTTTTGTCAAGGACCTTAACTGTGCCACCATAACAGTGTGGTGATAAACATCTGTCAATAAACATCTAGACTATCAACAAACTGTAGTCACAAGCACCAACAGCTAACCGGTTGCTTCTCCTCATTAACCGAGCAATTAGCCGCCATGCTAAATCCAGCAACTGTTTCCACAAAGCCCTGTCAGCGTACCAACTTAGAACCAGTCTGTAAAGACATTCAGGGGCGTGGCCGGACCAGACTGAGCCGCCCCACAGAGAAAGCTCCGCCCCCTCATTAAAATAGAACAACAAATAGAAGACACAAAAAATTAATTATCTTAAAATGCCTAAAACAGTCTTGTAAAATAAGTGTTAACCAATAAAACACCATTATAAAATACAATAATAAAATTAAATTAGCCAGTAGATGTCAAACTACAATAAATAAATCTTAAAATATTTTTTAAACAAAATAAATCAATGTGTGTGTGTGTGTGTGTGTGTGTGTGTGTGTGTGTGTGTGTGTGTGTGTGTGTGTGTGTGTGTGTGTGT